CTGTCCAGGAGGCCCCGGGCCCGCGCTGTGTCCTTCAGCTCCATCCAGCCCACAGCAAACATGCTCTGCGGTCAGAGGTAAGAGGCCACACAGGGGTGAGGCCCACTGCGTGGGCAGAGAAGACTGAAGCCACTGAGGCAGGAACCCCCCAGCCCCACGGTGCTCACCCAGGTCATGGCGGGGCCCTGGGGGGATGTCACAGCCTCGTAAATCTCCAGGTTTTTCCTGCGAACATCAGGACTCACGGAGAAGGGGACGGGGTATCCCAGGAGCACGACATCTGCCTGCTTCACCACCTCTCCTACGTGGAGGTGCTGCTGATTGGGGGGTGTTCTAGGACAGACTCGAGGGTCTTGACGGCAGGGGAGGAGGCCTTGAAGGGGTCACTCACCAGGCTCATACCCATCGAACTCCGGGTGGAAGTTCTGCTCCACGTCAAAGGGTACCTTGATCTTGTCAGCCACTGCCAGCCACTGGCTGGGGACGGGCAGACCCAGGTCCTGGGCCAGGGCAGCAGCAAAACGCAGGCTGGAGGTGGAGGTAGGTGGGGGAGGCTGCAACCCCTACGCTTCCAGCTGCTGCCTGCCGAGTGGGGGCACTGGGGCAGGTCTCCAGCTGGGGCAGGGGTGGGGTGAGGTGAGGGGATCTTGTGTCTGACCTGTTCTGGACCAGGACGTTGGTGTACACAGAGTTGTTGACCCCTGAATGGTACTCGTCGGGGGACATGACTCCTGGACACACAAGTCCAAGATGGTGCTCAGTGCAGAGCCTCAGAGGCCTTCCCTCCACGCCGGCGGTCAGCGTGGGGCTGGCACACGTGAGGTGTCTGAAAACATCTGCCGAGTCTGGGAACATCCACCCTTCCTCCCTGAGCCCCTCCCCACCGTGGCCCTCACCCCTCAGGTGGTACTTCTCCTCCCTGGGGCTCCACTCCACACGACTGCACCAAAACTCGGCCACAGCCCTGACCACGTCCCAGCCACCAGCCTCTCGAAAGAGCTGCAGGTCCTGGGGAGCAGGAGACGACACAGAGGCCAGGGCCCCAGTCACTCTCATTCCCAGTGGCCTGTCTGTGCCCAGAAGCAAGGCCTGGCACTGAGACAACTGTCCTCAGCCCCAGCTTTCCAGGACCGGCCCCAAACAGGGCCTGGCACTGAGACACCCGTCCTCAGTCAGCTTCCCAGGACCGGCCCCAGATAGAACCACGAGGAGTGGGGGCTACACCAGCTGCCTGGCCCCCTTGCAGGAATGGTGGGCAGGCACACCTCACCTGGGTGGTATGGTAGTACAGCTCGAAGGCCAACACCACGGCCCCGTTGACATGGACCTCCTGGGCTCCGTAAATGTCCTCAGGGCAAACCTCCAGGCCGGAGCCTGCACTCTCCCAGGCAAACTTGGCTCCCTGAGGCGTTGGGAGGGGGAAGACTTGGCCTTGTTGGAGGCGAGGGGTGGCCCATCAACTTTCCCATGCCCTCGCCCTGGAGGAGGGGGGCACGGCCTGCGCCAGGTACCCTGGTGGATGCTACTGCGAGAAGTGCCCACTGCACGTCCTCACTGGGGACCACGTAGCTTCTGCCCAGTTCTCACCCAGTGCTGACCCTGGCGCAGGGCAGCAGGGGCACCCCAGGGGGTCCTGGGCCAAAGTGGGGTCCCAGCCCTGCTGCAGTTCCCACCTCCTCTCTCTCTCAGGTGCGGGGGGGGGCACTGCTGAGGCCCCACAAGCCTCAGGGTGGGGAATCTAGGACATCCCAGCTCTGTCCAGAGAGGGGGCCTGGGGAGAGGGATACAGGCCTGGGAGGGGTGTGGGGGCTGCAGGCCCTGCAAGGCCCTGTGGCCAGTGCCCAGGTCCCCTCACCTGGTAGCCCAGGTTCTGGGCATTCCCCAGGGCCCCGCCCAGCGTGCGGATGCGGTACTCCAGGATGGCCCTGGCGGCTTCGGGGTGGAACATCAGGATATTCGGGAACATCCAGAGGTCCTGAGAGCACAGTCCCTCGTTCTAGCGCCGGACAGGCCCTCACTGCTCCCGCCCCTGCTGGCCACGTTCCGCCCTGGCAGAGCTCCATTGCTGGCGCCTTCTGGGTCCCTCCCCACCTGCCCACCCAGTTCTGTCTCCAGCCCAGAGGCTCCTGGAGTCTGGTCCTCAGCCCCACACTTCGCCTCCCCAGCCAGAGTTTGTGTGGCCTCCGAGGCTCCGCCCGAATATGGGCATGGGCGGCCTCAGGCCGGCCGGCCCACAGTGAACGCCTCTGGGAGCCTCATCAAAGAAACGCCACAGCAGCGGCACAGGGAGGCTCAGCTCCAGCGCCCCCACTCTCGACATCTGCATGCCCAGCAGCCATCACGCCCCTCTACCCTGTGCCCTCAGTGTCCCCGTCACCCTCGCCGGCCTCCAGCACCGGGCTCCACGCAGCAGCCACACAGGTATTCCCAGTCCCCACAGGTCCCCGTCCTGATAGGTCTCTGCAGCTCACTGGCCCTCAGGTAAATGCCAAGCACCACACTGCTGCCTATAAACCCTGGCGACCTGGGTCTGCAGCCCTTCTCGCCTTGGTGGGGGCCCCTCCCCACGCCCTGGCAGGTGCCTCAGGCCCTCTCAGTTCTGGTCTCTGCACCTTCCATTCCCCTCACCTAGATCACTCCTCTGCCACCCTCCTGTTGAGATGCCACCTTTTCCAGGCCCCTTCCCTTTTGCCACAGTCCCTGTGCTTCCCCAGCCACAGCCCTGATGCCAGAGAGGGCAGAGACCGTGGACCTCCATGTGTCGCCTGCTGTGTGGCTGGTGCTGGGTGTACAATGCTCACCTGGTCCCAGAAGACGTGGCCCCAGTAGCATTCCTCACGGCTCCCATTGGAGAGGCCCCCAGGACTGAGGCCATGGCAGATGTATCCTGGGGCCTTGGGCTGGGGTAGGGCACTGAGCAGGTAGTAGAGGGAGCCACGCAGGGCCTGGCGCAGCGGCAGGGGCCCCACCATGTCCAAGCCACATTCTGCCCAGAGTTGGGCCCAGGCCTGTGCGTGAGCCGTGTACAGAGCTCCCCTGGCCTGCAGCTGCAGGGCCTCAGTGAGGCAGGCCTGAGCCTCAGCCCGGCTGCCGCCCACCACCGTCAGGAAGTCCCATGTCCTTTCCTCCTCACCTTCCCCAAGGGTCAGGTCTGGGGGTGCTGGTGTCCACAGCATGTGTACCTCCTGCTGTGGCCCCCCGGGCTGCTCAGGGGTGAGCGTGTGGCCATACAGGTACCTGTGAGAGTATGGCCACGCCTCAGGGGTGAGCTCCCTCCCGAACTCCCTGGCCGCAAAGCCAGCCCCCTCCTTACCGGGCTCCCTGAAAGTCAGGACCCTGGTGCAGGTCCAGGTCTGGGCTTTCCGGGGAGAAGGCTGAGGACAGCAGCAGCGTGATGGGCCCGCTCCCCGGGGACAGGCGGGCGATGGACACACGGAAAGCCAGGACGTGCGGCAGTGTGCGGTGCGCATAGATGCACTGCGAGGCCCGGAAGTGGGGGCCCTCCAGGGTGTGAAGAAAGGAGCCTGGGGAGGCAGAAGGGAAGGCAGGACCACTCCAGGTGGGTGGCCAAGCTAGGGCCTCCCTGGCGCAGGAGTGGACCCCCCACCGTGGCCTCTCCCCACAATGAGGCGGATCCCTCCGGACCCTGGGCTGCTCTTTCTCGCTACAGCTGCACAGGAGGCCTCCAGGCAGAGGGAAAGGGGGACCCTGCGGGTCTCTGGCCTCCTGTGTTAGTGAGACTTCCCGTGTAAACTCAGGAGGTGCTGGTGGGATTTCCCCCACTGGCCTGGAACAATGTCTGGGGCAGGGGTGAGGCAGGCCAGGCGGCGATACCTGTGTTGGTGTCTAGGGCAAAGGTCTCGGTCAGCGGCTCCCCCATCCCTGCAGGGGCCTCCAGCTGGACGTTGAGGGGGCTGGGCAGCACGGCCCGGTGCGTGTCCCCGCCAGCCCCATTGTACACGCCGCTCACGTGCAGCGTGTCATGAAACACTCGTGTGCCCAGGTATGCGTTGGTCACAGTGGCCAAGAGACGGGGGTCACTGGGCAGAGAGTGGGCAGCAAACGTGGTGGGGTCCTCGCTGGAGTCCTCCATGGGCTGGGCCTGAGCGGCCTGATGGGGATTCAGGGGCCCCGGGACTGGCTGAGCCGCCCTCTTGAGACCGTCTGTAATCCCCTGAAGCCTCCCTCAGAACTGGGGGGAGTTACAGAACCAGCTGGGCAGCCCCGATTTTCCTGAGGCCCCTCCTAGGAGGAAAACGCCCAGGAACGGAGCTCAGACCCCTGAGGTTGATTTCCGGGAGCCCAGCTGAG